TATCATTTAAATAACAAAGTTGCAGGAAATTAATTAAAGAAAATGGTAAACAGAGAGACCCTTCCAAATAATGATTAGATCGAAAACATGTGCAAGGCATATACCTACAAGAATTTGTAGGGTCAAGGGTCATATTTATTTAATCATGTAGAATCATTTTTAAATTATCTATAATTTTTTCCCACATCCCAAAAGTCAAACTTGAAGTTCTAAGTACTAATCATAGTACCTGTCTAATAACAATTTGCAAGTGATTTATTTATAACAGTAGATTAAATAATATTATGAATATTATTTTTGATATACCTTTTCAATTATAATAAATATAGACGAATATAAAGTATATGCAGGAGAACATTATTTTAAATTATATATATATGTATAATCTATGTAAAAATTTTATTTATTATACGGTTACCTTTTTCTCTCTGCTGTTCACTTGTTTTGAAACACCCTCTGTACACAATAAATAGTAAAAAAAAATAATATTACGTTCGAGTTTAATTAGTTAATCATACAAATACTGTTCATACGAAAGTTTCAAGTAGGTCAAGAATTGCTTCTAGGTCAATGGCAAATGGACATAAATGTGAATGTTAATTGTAACACATCTCTAGTATCTATCTAGGGCACTATAGAAGGCTATTTTTATATTTGCAGGGGTTAGAAGAAATTATTTTGAAGGTTATCATATTACTTAGTAAACTTGTTTACATTTAGGAATATGTGACAAATGTAGGGTGTCCGAAATAAAAAATTAAAGATCTTTTCCAGTAATACCTACTTTGTTCATATTGTTGTAAAATTTGATTCAAAAAGTTTATAAGTACGAATAAAATTATTGGCATAAATTAAACTCCTTAAACAGCCAATTAAATGGGCCTTTAAATGCGTCATACCTATATTTCAAAATCAAAGGTAAAAAATTTTAAAAAGCAACTTCCATTATTTTTAATAATGAATCGGATGTTTTAATGTTTTTAAATCATTAAAATCGACAATTAAAAACAATTAAAAATTAAAATTGTTATAATTTGTTTATTAAAAATAAAAAATATATATTTCTCTGAAAGAAAGTTTATATTTTTTTGAGTATATTAAAAAAGAAGCTTTTGAAATTCATAAATTTTTATGCTTGTTAATTATGATTTTTTTTTAAATACCCCATATCTTCCAACCTCCCTTACTCTGTTAATTTTAACAGTAGAAGTAAAAGTCAATCGATCATTTTTATGTAAAATTTTATGCACTATAACTTTTTTCTAGCTTTTACCCCTTTTGGGTTATCTTGAAAAAACACTTTATTTTATTTTTCTTGGCGGTTGAAAAAAAAATACCGTCAGTTATTTATCAAAAATTTAGGCAGGTTGACTAAAATTTCGATTTAAAGGCCCATTTAATTGAAGTATAAAAGAGGTTCTTAGATTATTAGATAAAATCGTTATACTTTTATGGAATTTTACAGGTAATATATAATTTTTTTAATTGGGATATCTGTATCATAATGACCATTATACTTTAAATTCATTTTTATTTTCCATAAAATGTTTCAAAGTGTCTGCAACTATGGAGATTTTTTAGATAAACCTACTACAGGTATTATCCTTAAGGCAACATTTAATTTAATTTTTAATATATACCTAATTAGACAATTTGATTGAGATGTTACCATTTTTATTTCAATTTCATTTTAAAGCTAATAAAGAACTTCGCTATATATGATTGATTGACTTTATAACTCTAATAAATACAATGAATGTAATAGACGTTTTTTGAGATAGGTCTTCAAAAATAAACAAATAAAAGTACCTTATATTTGTTACTAAAATATTTCCTAAGGGTTCTATGATGCATCATAAATTGGACTTAAAATCCAGTCTTGATTAATTGCTTAAAAACTACTGAAGATATAGACGTCAAATTTGGTATACAGGGTCGGAAAGTCCCCATGGTTCATCGGCCGTTACGTGAGAGCGATAAAGTAAGCCATAGAAATCCGTGCGATAGAGAAAGATGGCTATAATGAAGGCGTCTAATAGTCACCGCCCATTTCGCCCTTCCACAAATAAGATCTCGTTCTTATCTTTATCGCTCTCATGTAACGGCCGATGAACCATGGGGACTTTCCGACCCTGTATTGTAATTTGCTTATGCTAGTTACCTTCGTATAATTTGAACAAATACTACCTGTAGCATAGGGAATAGGAGGGTTCTGATATTTGACGTTGAAAAAAATCTTATTTTACAACTTCGGATTGAAGATTTTCAATTAAAAGTTTTGTTTCTTGAGTTTTTTTTGTAGAACCGTAGAGTCCAGAATTTTGCCGGTATTACGAAAATTATTAACATCATACTATACCTCAAAGCTATACACAAATTCGTTCTTGTGAATAAAAATAAATATATGAATAATCCGGCGCCTCATATGAGTTATTCCCTGAATACAAAGTAACTAATGTCTCGTACAAGTTATCCCTAATTCACGAATATTGCTAGCTAGTTAGCTCTAATTGTGGAAAAGTAAATGTAAAATAATTAGTTTTTATTTATGGTCCTCTACTGACGAGCTTCTAGCAAGGTATTGGCTCAATTTGTTAACTATTACTAACGACAATATTTCAAAAGGAACAAAAGTTTTGATTGAAAATGATTTCAGTTCAATTTTTGCATATCTAAATGTAGCTACTAGGTAACTATTCTGTACCAGGCTTGAAGCATAATCTCTTCAATCATTTTTTAGCAATTGATAAAAACTGTATTTGAAAGATTTTATAGTTGTTTATTTACAGGGTGTTCTAAATACCTCAGGTAAAGAATTATAATTACATCAACTTCCCTTAGTCCAAAAATATTTTAAAAGTTACAGGGTATATAGACTTATCGACGTATGATATCTAATTCAAATTATATACACATTGCGTTGTTTTAACACAGTGCGTCAAGTAATAAAAATTATCTTCAATCGTTTAATTTCCTGCATCAGTGGCATACGAGAAGATGGGCGTAACATTTTTTAAATATTTTTCCCGCCAATGCATTTTTACAGGAAAGTATCTGAAGTTATGAACAATCTTCCGATTTTACACAAAAATGCCTTTTGTCAATTTCTTGTGAAATTGCTAGATTTCGAATAAAAAGGGAAAATTCCTTTTGTTATTCCGAAAAAATAAACTGAAGATACCAAATTGACGTTATCTGGGAAACTAATGCTTTTGACCATGTTTATATGGACTTTCTTTACTGCAACCATTTTTTTTTAGATTTTTCAAAAAGTGGAAGGCTAACTTCACATTCAGTTTTTACGCATTTTTTGGTAAATCGCGATAGATATAACGTTTTTCGAGGCACAATGTTCAGAGTGATTATTACAATTAACACATTCATTAAAATTATTTTTTGCCCAAAGTGAGGAGGATAGAAGTGAAAAACAAGGACTGTTCACCTTATTTTCCGAGAAAACACGACAGATATGGAGCTTTCAATGATACAATGTGACATGTGACCCAAAGTTAGCACAATTTACCACAACCGTTCTTTTTAATATTTTCAAAAAGTGGGAGGCTAAAACTGACATGTTAGTTGATAAAGCTTGGGTTGTATTCCCTGCAGCAGTGGCATATAGGGGGATTTTCGATTCTCTCTTTTTGAAAATATTTACCCCACTATGCGAATTTTAAAGAAAATCCTTGAAATTTTAAATGATCTGATGATCTAGTACATTTTTTTTAATTACTAAAGTCCAAGTAAAAAGATAAGTTCCAATTTTCTACTCCGAAAATAATATAAACTAAAAATACTGCTTAACTGTATACCTCAAAAATAAAGATTTTATCAACTATATTTATTTGAATCTTTTTGTGTCTTTAAGTAGATTAATCAATTTTGGTAGTTTAGAAAAATTAATAAAACAATTTCTTTATCCTCCCAGTTTCTTGTGTGTGTGAAGTTAGCTTCTACACTTACAGTAAAAGCTAAAAAAAATGGATGTGCTGTGATGGATAATTTAATATTTTCGAAGGTGGTAGAGTTCTCGAGAAATGCCAAAAACAGAATGTGAAGTTATAGGAAATTATGCTAACCTTGTGCCGGATAGGCATTAAATTAAATTTGTCGTGGTTTTGATAAAATGTGAAAAAAATCCTTCCCTGAAATTGTTGTGGTAATCTTTCTGAAGATTGTGCAGCTGAGAAAAATTTTCACAATTTACTGAAAATGCGGAAAACCTAAATATGAAGTTAGCCTTCCAGTAAAAAAAATGATTGTAAGGTTAAACTTCAAATAAACATAGTTGCTAAAATAATTATTTTCCCAAACAGTCAATTTCTTTTTTTTTTGTAGCAGCAAAAAGAATTTTCTCCTTTTAATCGCATTCTAACACTTTTAGGAGAAATTAACAAAAACCATTTTTTGTGTAAAATCGAAGCATAGTCCATAAAGTTCAGTTGATTTTCTGTAAAATACCCATAGGCTGGAAAAATATTTTCAAAAATATGGCGGCCACAAGACACCTCCGCGTACGCCACTGGTACAGGGATTGAAATGATTTTTATGCTTTCTGCGCTTTTATATCGCGTGTAGAATTTGAATCAGTTATCATATGTTAAAAAGTGAGATATCTATTAACATCCTGCGACATTTAAATGAGGCTTTTTTTGACTAATTTAACGTGACTTAAATTATTTTCAACTGAGGAAACTGTGGTTGTTGTGTGACTACTGTTTTCTGGGACACACTGTATATGAGGTGAATCGGTCTCGAAAGCTCGAAAGTCTTATTGATAAAATCCATTTACTTTATAATTCGAAAGAAAACTGCTATATTAGTCGACTCAATTTCGCTTTACGCGGGCTTAAAGAATGAAATACAATTTCCTCGATATCCAAGAATCGTTTGTAGCAGTCAGACACGTCCAAAGTACGTCAATCCTATGTGACTACATTCTCAGTCTTGAAAACCAACAAGAATTGCTAAAATCACAGTATAAGTCGATTAACTATTAATATAACTTCCTGCGCTTTATCCTGGAAAATGCTACGCACAATTCCTGCAAGTGTAGCAGGATAATGGGCGTGCTTTTCCAGATCCCGCCCCCGCTTTCCCGCCCATTCCCGGTGAAAGGTCCCAGCCGCAACGCCGAACAGTACGATTGCGGCGTCTCAACGCTCACCTGGTCGCAGGTAGTCCGTAAGTGATATGTAATGGTTAAGTGTCAATTATTATTGTTTATGTTTTTATTAAGTTGTTAGTGAACCCGTAGTGTTTGTGCGAGTAGGTATTAGTGACCGTCGAACCATTGCCGTCGAGAAGGATTAACGATGATCAAAACCGTTGCAGGAATTCTCCTTTTGATCTCCTTAGGTAAGTCAAAAAAGTATACTATTTCAGAAAACATGCCAACTTTTCTTTAAATGAAAGTAGGCTGTTCTCTAAGTCTCTGTTATAACCTTAGGAGATTATTTTTTCCAATATTTTGGACTAAAAAATCTTAATGAATTAAGAGTCTAAAATTGATTTTTGAGGTACAATTATAAAAATATTCTTATTATAAAGGCATTAAGCTAATTCAAAAATGTTAATTGTTTTTTTTGTCGTATTAAATGAAGTCAAAGAAATTATTTTTTAAATTGAAGATAGAATTTTGATATCAAAGGACATTTAATATAATTTTTTAAATTTAATAGCTTTATAATAAAATTAATAATAAATATATTTAAAAAAACATTAATTCCGTTATTATTTAAAAAATATATCAATTAATCTGAATTAGTTTAATACCTTTACATTAAAATAATCTAAAAAGAAAATTTTTATATGTATTTTAAAAAAATAAGACTACATTTATTTAAAATTTCTGAAAATGTTTGACCTAAAGTACTAAAAGTCGAGCTAATAATTCATCTAATTAATTGGAAAATGCAGTAAATTAATATACGAATTTCTCAACTAGTAGTGAAGGTACTGAGAGGCACTGTCACTGAGATTCCATAATTTTTATCCCACTGAGAATTTTTGAAATCGAATGCACTTACATTTAAATTCTAATTCCATTTTCAAGAAACTCATAATTTTCATGCCAGTGAGAATTTTGGAAGTCGAATGCGCTTACATTTAAATCGTAATGTTATTTCTTAAAAAACATGTATTTCACTTTCGAAAAACGAAAATTTTCAAGTTATTTTTTAAATTTAAAATAAGCTTATGACATATGTATTAAATAAATTTAAAAGAACAACTATTTACTCACAGAAAACAAGTAGAAACGTTTTTTAATTTTTTTTTGTGATATATAACCCCTCGTTTTCAATTTCTTAGTAATAAGTTCATATATAACTTTTTTTGTGAAACTAATATATATGTAGGTATTCAACAGTGTAATAAACTTACAGTGAATTTTAAAAAATAATAACTTGTAAATAACTCCATTTTCGAATAAAATCGAGTTCATAGATTGTTTTCTTAGAAATGGGACTGGAAAGTAAATGCTCTTATCCAATTTTCAGGATACTCAGTGGCGTCGAAATTCTGAGGCGTGTAGCGACAATCCCCCTAGTATCTCCGCCACTGGTTAACAGATTTTCGTACTGATTTAGTGATTTTTTTCCTATGAAGTTTTGTCAATCTACGCTACATATCATCACAAGTATTTAAATATGTGATATTTATTTTAACTTTAACATTGCAACAAGTGGCTTTAAATTCTTCTTTAAGGTTTTCTGGTAAAATTATCAAGGGTACAACCTCCTAAGGTTATGACAGATTTATGAAAAACTCTGTTTATCAAGAACTATTTTTCTATAATTTTTAAAACTCGAAAAGAGATATTATACACGGTACCGCTTGAGTTTATCAAAAATAACAAAGCAATATGACATTTTTACTGTTGGTATTTCCCGTGTGTTAAACCACAGGGTTTCCCCGTTAAAGTGCAGTTAATATTAAAACTAAATATCTCATTTCAAGAACTTTAAATCGGAATATTTGCCGTACTGAAAAGGAAAATAAATTAAATTAGGTATTTAAAAATTCGCCCTTGCGAGAATAACATGTGAAAGTTATACGTGTCAGCTTTTCTTCGTTTTAATCAATAAAACAAGTAGGTACATCTAATGAGTTTCAAAATTAAATAGGTTGCTTTTTTATTTGACATTTTAAAAGTTGATGATTTTCATGATGTTAAAATTCCTGTATTTTTCATGGTAATATAAAGAATTAAATAGTATATTTGTTTAAATAAATAATAATTAGTAATTTAATTAATTAAAATTTCTAGACTAACAATAAAATAGCATATTATTTCATGTTCGTATTCTATTACACCTAATTACTGTTACGAATCCCATAATTTTATTTTCTCGGATAACTTCTGTGTGAACTGTACGCCATCTGAATAATTGTAAGTATGTAACTTTCTCTTACGAGAAAGTACAACTCGAAAACGGTTCACCTTCTGAATTAGAAGTGTAAACACGTAACACTTGTACAGGGTGTCTTTCAACTGTTTTAACAATTTACAGGAAAAATTTTGATTTGTCAGCAATATAAAATATTAAATATATAGTCCAGTCATTCTACGGAAAAACGTGAAAAACTTGATAGCAGCAATCTGACGACGGGGTAGTTAATGAAAAATACATAAATTAATACAGCCAATTTTGCCCCCACTCCGAATAAATATTGGTCAAACTGGTCAAAATGAGGTTTTTCTCAATATAATTTTTCAGAGGCAAGACAAAGAAAAAGTTGTAGGTATTACAAAAACCTACAATTTAATTTTTTATGCATTATAATCGGTGCATTTTTTATCGAGATAATTGCAAAAAACATGCATTTTTGCAGTGTTTTTTAATTGTTAATAGCTTTTGCAATAATGGTCATGGCCGAATTTTAATCTACTAAAAATGAGGGTATTATAACCCTTTATATGTGGCCACAAATTGGGCTCGATCGGTCCAATAGTTTATGAATAATTGCATTTGTTTTTCCCAAACAATTTTTTAAACGATTGAGGTCAGTGAGTGCATAAAAATCAATTTAAACACCGGGAAATGATAGTTAAAAGTCTGAAAATTATGGTATGTTAACACAAATCGATTTTTTTCAATTTTGTTGCATTTTTTCAATCCAAAAAAGGGATATTTTTTTATAAATAGGTAAATAGAAGTAACTCCGGAACTACTGGTATCAGTCATATTACTGGATAGCTGGTGAAAATAAAGATTTAAAAAAATATATATGCCCTACGCCCTATCTGGGCCGAGATAGCCCTTTTTTAAAAAATCATAAAATAAAGAAATTGTAGTTTTTTTTAATACCTACAACTTTCATTTGAAGACTTTTTCTCTATCTTGTCTCTGAAAAATTATATTTGAGAAAAATCTCATTTTCACTACTTTGACCATTGTTTATTCGGAATAGGGGCAAAATTGACTGTACTAATTTATGTATTTTTCATTAACTATCTCCCCTAACAAGATCCCGTCGCTAGATTGCTGCTATCAATTTCTTCTTGAAATCGCTCTTTTTCCCGTAGAATGACTGGCCTAATATTGCAATGACATTTCAATTGTACAATGTGTTATTCCAAAGAAAACCTGATTCCTCAATAATTGTACCTGTATCGTTCAATAAAACAGTAAGTTTTCAAGAAATGTTTTGACCTACTAAAACCAAAACATAATCGCGTTTTAAATAATACATTCATTAGTGCTTTAAAGCACAATGGTTTTTTGGGTTGTTCTATCGCGGTCTATATAGGTACCTAGTCGCTACTTACATTGCATTTTCTTAACCTTTTCTACGAATCTTAGATCTGCTGTTGTCGGTCTCAGGCAAGGCTCTGTGGTGGCGGACTCGCTATCAGAACTACTAAGCCAATCCTGATATTCATCTACCTGAGCATTGGTGGTAGCTGTAGCACTGTTTTTTTCTGAGCACCCTGTAGCTGTTTAAAAAAAACGTATATACTCTTTAAAAATTTAAGCTATACCTACATTTATCACATGCTTACTTGCCAGCATTAATTTTACTTAATCACAGAGAACTAAAAATTTTCAATATAATTACTGTATACCTACTAAGAAATTCCTATTATATATACTTATCCTTCATTCCTTTCTAAAAAGTTCCAATCCCAGAACCATAATATATTTTTCAAGAATGCTATGGCACCCTGTATAATAAATAAAACAATTATATTTGACATCTCTGTCAAAGTCAACTTCCAATGTTAGTTTAGGCCATATTTTCAAAATTTTTCGTACAGATTCAAAATTCTAGTGCTTTTTACTAACTAAATACAAAATGGCCTGCGTCTGCCCTCCAAAAGAAGAAACTGACAAAAAAACGAAAATATTGTGCAAGCTGAAGAGGCTGCTTAAAGATATCGAGGACGAAGCAGCAGTCCCTGTGAATCCAATATGTGTACCTTGTTGCGTGCCAATATGCAATTTTAACGAGTTGAATCAGTCCTCTGCGGCTGCTAGAGAGTATCCAAAACCCGATGTCATAGAGACCCCGAATGTTATGGTAAGCTTCTTCAACTCACCCTATTCACCACCTATATATAAAAAATATGGGTGTGAAACACTTTAGGATAATAAAAAATAAATTTTGCAAGTGAAAAGTAGTACTTACCTAGTATCTGATAAAGGATGTAGCATAAAGACAAAAAAAAATGAGAATGGTTGAAGAAAAAATAGAAAGAAATATCGTTGTTATAACTAAATAAAAAGATGTAATGCAAAATCCAACCTAATCTAACTCAACCGAATCTAATTAAGTAAAACAGAAAAACAAATTTCACACAAGCAAGGACAACGAAAAATTGACGATAATGAAGAACCTTATCCGAGCGCAAAGTAATAAAACATAAACATAATAAAACAGACCAAAAATTATGACTGATCACAACTCCGATGAATAACGATCATGTCCAAAAATAAACAATTTTAACACATTTACGAAACAATGGCTGTAAAGTAGAAAATAACAAATATTTAATTGTTAACAGTTTTATATATACAGGGTGTTAATGATATGACTTTAATGGTGACTTCTACTTCAACAAATCAACAAACAGGTGAAATTTGAAAGAATATCACATTTAAATGTCTCATAAAATTCTTGACATTAGATTAATGAAACTTGAGTTAATTATGGGCAAAAATTTGCTGAGTACATGAATCTGTCAACCAATGGCGGAGATATTGGGAAATACCGCCACTAAGAACACTACCATTTCGAGATCACGGAATATTTTGGAAAGTGAATAAATGTATTTAACTTCAGTTGGGGCTTCTAAGAAAAAAATCTTTTATTTTATTCAAAAACGAGTTATTTCTCAGCTATAGTTTTTAATT